CACGAAATATTGTCCCGCTTTGCTGAACACGCCAAGCTTTTTAGAGGCCGATTTGGCCTTCTCTTCCAAGTGACCACGAAACTGCACGTCATTCGATATGTAGACTCCGAGGATTCCGATACTGACTTCTTTTTTGCGGTAAACGCGCGGTAAATTGTGTCTTCTTAGGATTAATAATAATAATAATAATAATTTTATTTGAGAACATGGTCCATATATTGTTATTAATGTTGTTAGTAACAATATTGGCCTAAAACTATGTTAGTATTGTAAGTAATTACACATTATTTTATTCCTATGACTACGCCCACCCAGTGCTTTTGTATGGGACAGTCATATCTTACACATATCGCTCTCAGGATGCTGTTATTACTGTTTCGAAAGCGTTGCAAGAGTGAGGCTGTTTTCTTCCGAATGATCGCTGAAAAAGTGTCAGCACGCGCTTGTGCAAACATACCTCATGCACTGCAATGCCAATGATTAAACTGGACTTGATTTAGTCGCCCCCAATCCGAGACTTTGTTCAGCAAAGACTCGACTTCAGACACGAGTTTGTTCCGGTACTCGGCGACATTTTCCCGAGAAATATAGGCACGGCCGGTGTATAGAGCATCACCAGTGCTGTCATCCGCAAAGCAATTAATATTACCAGTCAGCAACATATCATTGATATGCAGAAGAAACAGCGTTGGTGATAGCACACGGCCTTGTGGAACACCAGCGTTAATAGGCTTGTAGTCGGAGCATGCACCATCTACAACGACTTTGATGCTCCGATCTGCAAGGAAGCTGGTGATCCAATTGCACAATATATGGGGAGCCCATAGGAAGGGAGCTTCGAAAGAAGCGTTTTGTGCCAAACCCGATCGAAGGCCTTCGCAATGTCCAAACTAACGGCCAGAGCCTCCCCCTTGGACTTTACTGCCTCCGCCCATCTATGAGTCCGGTAGACCAGAAGATCACTAGCTGATCGACCCCGACGAAAACCGTATTGGTAGTCACTTATCAGCTGGTGATCCTCAAGATACCGCGTGAGCTGGCAGTTAAAAATGGATTCAATTATTTTCGAGAACAAGGAGGTGATAGCGATAGACCTTTAGTTGGACGGGTCTGAGCGGTCGCCTTTTTTAGGGATCGGGTGGACAAAAGCTGTCTTCTATGATTTCGGGACTACACCTAGGGAGTAGGAGTACTCGAAAAGACGCGTTAGAACCAGTACCAACTCCGGAGCACACGTCCTCTGCAGAATTAGGGGGATTCCGTCAGGCCCACTTGACTTGTGGATGTCCAGAGAGAGCAGTGCTTTGCGAACCGAGCGCTGTAAGAACCGCACATCCAGCATAGAGCACTCACACCGCTGGATGGTGGGTGATGTGTTTACCCCTTCATGAAGAGTTGAATTGTACGCAAACAGGGAGCCTAAAATGTCGGATTTCTCTTTTGCGGTGTGGGCCAGTGAGTCGTCCTCCTTGTGCAGAGATGGTAGTGATGGCTTACAGAAATTGGACAACCTTAGTGAGAGACCAGAATGCATGGGTTGCCGAAGGAAGGCGAACTAGTTTCTTGATAATTCTGCCTATGTGCTCTGACTTTGCCTTGGCAGTAACTCTTTTGAAGAACCTGGAGGCGAAGTTATACTTATTTTTAAGCATGCTGGTATTTACATCCCGAGCCGCCAAAGCCTCAGCCCAGGCCTGATTACACTCCTGCTTACAGCGTAAAGCAGTCTTACAGGAGCGGCCAAACCTAGGCTGAGGTCTGCCTGCGATGGGTACCACATCAGTTAAAAAGTCACGGAATACTGCAGTCATAACTTACCAGCAAAATAACCTTAACTCTTGCCATTCTGCGGTTGCAAATTATCAATACACTAACGCATTTATTCATAGAGCAGCTGTTTCTAGGCTTGAAATGGATAATCCAGGAAGACAATCAGAAAGATGGAATCAGAAATACGTCCATGGAAAGTAAAAGCTGGGCTGATGTGTGATGATATTTATTTGTCAAATTTTAAATTACGTATGTATTACTGTAATTATGAAGGTAATTAAGAAGGATAGATGCCAACGGTCTTGCCCTAACGATAAATGACGAAATAATTCCATAAAAATAAACATTTAAACATGAGTTGGCCGCGTAAAGAAACCGGTTAACCCATATTTTGGGGTGATGATTTCTGTACCCTTGGGTGGCCCAAGGGTGAATAAATTATAACAATCAAAAGGCGACTATGGTAAAAATCTGAAAGTTCATGGCTCTTCATAGAAAGCGATATTATTTATAACAGGAGTGTTTTTTTATTTAAGAATAAGTGTAACAATCAACCACCTTCTGGTAAACGGGTGTTGTGGGCAGAATCAAAATGTAGATGCGCTGTCACTTCTGAGGACTGAGATAGAATACATAACTTGTTTCTTGAAAAAGGGTCTCCGGTTCTTTCTTGTCTTAGAACAAGCGCAATTTAAAAGTCATGCTTAAAAATTATTGATTAAATGTAAAGAATTGTATACTGTTAAAAAGTAAAAGTACAAATAAAATAACTATGTAACCGAAGTCGCCCGCCACTAAAACATCATCAACATATATACATTAAGTCCCAAATCCGCTGAACCGAAGGAATGTTACAAGACAGGGTCACCTGTATTCATCGACTTCGTACATGTCTTTAAAGGTCATTGAAATTCCATTAGGCATTAAATAAGTATGGCGCCAGAAAAAGGGAAGATGGCCATGTTTACCCAGACACTCCAGGAACTACCAAGAGAATGATCGAATGATTATGTTACATTTATATCAATATATAATATCATTTCAATTATAAGAGTTTTTATAATGTTCCCTTTTATGCGAACCTTCGGTAAATTGGGGGTAAATTTTCATTTCAAAAATGTTTGCGGGCAAAATGTAGTCGTTATTTAACTTATTCAAGGTACAACAATCATTATGAACGTGCTATAATTCTGGCCTTAGCTTTAAGTAACATTTAAGCAGGTTTAGAATAAATTTACTTGGAAGAGTTACAACAGGGTCCAGTGTTTTATATGTGTCATTCTATTCCGACCGTAAGGTTCAGGTGTTTATTCGAGCTGCTCTTTTGTTTACTTTTTTTTAATTTTGACCTAAACTAAGCCTTATTAGTAACGGTAATGCTAATAAAGTGTTTTTTGTAAAATATTTCTATTTTTATAGAATAAGTGGAAAACGAGCATGCAGTTCACAGCATAGTGTTTGAAGTCTGTGATCTATAATCATCTTCATCTATTCTTCATTAAAAATTGAATTTGAAATAGAATTCAAAAAACGCAGACGCGTTGTCATCTCTGAGGACTAAGATGCAGTGTCTCTTTTCCAGCAAAAAGGTACTCCGCTTCTCTTCACTCACCATATAAAATTTTCTAACAATTTTTTTTATGTCTCTACAATAAAGTATAAATGCCTAATGGAGTATTTTATTAAACTGCAATACAATTAAAATAAAATTTGAGCCCTATTAAATAACAAGTAATTTTTAACCATGTTTTTTTACGTCTGTTTTTTGTTTGTATATTTGTAAAGAAAATGTATTTCTTTAATATTTTGTCTGTGTGTTTTATCTGTGGTTTTATCTGTATTTGTGTAGTGTAGATAGAATCTTCTGTGAAATAACATATTGACTGTATTGACTGTTGAACAATGATAAGCTGCCTGTAGAAAATTATAATTTAAGTTCATTAAAAACAGAATTGTTGCAAAGAGAATTGACATATTAAGGAATAAACTTTAAATGTCGTTTCTTTGTTTACAGGTTTGTTTTTAGTTATTATTGTAATAGTGTAGTTTCGTAATGGAACTTAAAATTAATGAAATATAAAACTTTTCTTACAGAGCAACATAACATAGTTTATTTTAGTCAACCCTAAAAAAATATACCTTACATCTTATATATTTATTACTTAACTAGATTTTAATGATTATTTTTTTATTGTTATATTTCAGATGTGATCCTATAAGTATAAGTTTGACGAAAAAACTTGTGGTATTGCCTAGTGGACTAAAAGGGAGCAAAATTGAAACGTTTTCTGAGGCGAAGCTGTAATTCTTCGATACGCTACATCTTACCACCGAATTCAGAAGCTATTGTGTGAGTTTTTTTTTTTAAGTTTTTGAACTCGGTTTTTAAAACTTCATTTTATATTACGATTTCTAACACACTAATGAATAACGGAGATAATGGTTTAGGTGGTATGCTCTAAGTAGCATTTACGCACGGGTTACATTTTTAATGTAGAGTTTAATTATTTAGTGGATGAAAGGGTAGGTATTAAGCCAACGAAACGTAAATGCCAGTAAAGTGGGCTTAAATATTTGATAACTGTTGTGCTTTAAAGAGAAAGAACAATGGCAAACTTTCATGCATAAAATTAGTTGAGAAGAGATGGTAGCGTCTATATATCAAAAATTATAATATTAATATTTATTTAAAACTTATTTCTAGGAACCCACATCACGGGTTATCCTTGATAAAGTTCGAGTCAAGCAAATAATAACGAGTATGTAAGCAACGATACAAATAAACACGAGCATTCCTTTCACTCGTGCCAAAAACCGACATCAAGTGGACTGCGACTTCACCGTAGCAGTCTATCGCGTAACACCTTATTCTTTTCGTCTGTCTAATTTAAATAAAATAATGGGTTTGTAGTGAGTGCTTAAGTCTCATTTATCGTGTCAACAGTTCTTTATTAAATGTACTAAAGCCAGTGATATTTTGTTAATGTTAAAGTATTCTGCAATTAAAACTATATCAAATAATTACTAATTAATATCGAGTTTTGTGAAGTGTTCGGACGGAACGCGTAAGTGCCGCTATATCACCGGCGCTTAGGCCGTTTTGCTCGCGACCTTTTTAACACAGCAACAGTGATACAGGTGTAGTTTTATGTTTCTGTTTCTACCGCGCATCTATCTTACATTTGAGACTACATAGCTGGATATTGTTGATTACTCATAGAAACACTACAATGGATTGTTTTAAGTGTAAAAAAAATATTGCTGAAAGGGATGTTATTAAATGTACGGGATGTAATATGTACATGCATTATAAATGTGCTGATTTATCTGAAACAGAGTTCAAAAAAATCCTCCCTATGAATAAAATCAAATGGAAATGCCCACCCTGTAAAAATAAGAGGCTCGCTGGTACGTTAGGAGGGACAGTGTCACCTAAGTTTAAAGATTGCACAACTACGTCTATTTTAAACGTCGACACCGACGCCTTGACTGAATATATGGATGCGAAGCTTGACAGTCTGCGCCAGCAGTGGCAGGAGGACTTAAATTCAGCCATCCAAAAAGTATCTAAAACTTTTGCGCAAGATATTAATAGGTTGGAAAAACGTGTTGATTCATGGGAGGAGCGCATAAAGGAACTCGAGCAAAACTTTACGGCATCGCATAGTCCTGATGTCACCCCGATGCAGGAAAACAACGAGCTTCGCGCAGATTTGGAGAATTTACGTGCCAAGTTTGATGACCTCGACCAAGCCTCTCGCAGTTGCAACGTGGAATTACAAAACATTCCTGAAAAAAAGGCTGAAAACCTGATTCATTTATCTATAGAGGTGGGTAAGCTGATTGGCGTCGATATCAAGGCAAGCGATATTAGATCTGTTCATCGCGTGTCTCCAAAGGTACCGAACGACCGTCCAAAAAATATTGTACTGCAGCTGACCACACGACGACTGCGTGATGATATGATAGCGGCGGCGCGTTCGCGCCGCACACTCACCACTACTCAGTTGTTTGGCTCTGCCAACAGTGCCGCTGCTACAGCTCAAAACACACGATTCTATATAAACGAACATCTGACACTAAAAAATAAAATTTTATTTAGTAATGCTCGACAACTGGCGAAGTCGAAGGGATGCATTTTGAAAAACAGTTGCATTTTGCTGCGGAAAAATGACGATTCACGTGTGATTCACATTCGTTGTACTGATGATTTAAGTAAAATATGACTATTTTATTACGTTTACTTGTTTATTAATATTCCAAAAGTAGCATATTTTAGTAGTTTTATTATAAGTTTTTGTGTATGTTGTTTACAATACTCAATACAGCGGGAGATCGAGATCCATAATTTTATAGCAAACAAATTTATAAATACACTTTTAATTATATCGGTTGCATTTCTTTCTCGTGATGGCTTCTAATAAGTTACTTATATTCTATCAAAATTGTGGAGGCTTAAAACTAAGCTTACAGACTTAAAACTAAATTTACTAACTTGTAACTTCGATATTGTAATTTTAACTGAAACCTGGCTGCTGGATATAATTTTGGATGCTGAAATTCAAACGGATGCTTATACAATATTTCGACGCGATCGGAACTGTATGTTATTTAATAAAAAGGGCGGTGGCGGGGTGCTAATTCTTGTTAAGAAATCTATCCATGTTGTTAGAAAACTTGACTTAGAGGCAACCGATTTAGAAATTATTTTTCTTCATTTCCCACATTCAAATTTGTTATTGAGTGCATGCTATATACCACCAGCATCTAAAACTACTACCTATGATAAATACTTTTATATACTTCACGACATTCACTCAAAGGCATTATTCTCACATTACATTATTACTGGTGACTTTAATTTACCCTACCTGGAATGGTCATCTGATGGTCCATCCTTGAGACCTGTTAATGCAGTTACTGATACAGCTAAATTATTGTCTCATATCATAGCCTTTATGAATTTGAAACAAATAAATACATTAAAAACGAAAACAGTAGAATTCTTGATCTTGTTTTATGCAACTCACCTGATTGTTCAGTTAATATCTCCGATGATCCACTCTTAAAAGCCGTTCCTCACCATCCTCCGCTGGACATTTTTTATGAAACAACTCAATCCAAGTATATGCCCAGCAACCAGAAGACAAAACGAAACTTTTACAGAGCAAACTATGACCAAATTAATACTGCTATATCGGAGACTGATTGGGTTTCTGAACTCAGTTCTTCTTGTATAGATACTGTAGTTGACAAATTTTATAACAAAATTATGCATGTTATTGAATCTTATATACCACTTGTCAAAGTTAAAACAAATAGATTTCCTAAGTGGTTCTCTAATAGCTTAATTTATACACTTAGGCGTAAATCTAAAATGTGGGCACGATGGAAAACGTACAATTCGTTACGTGACTATCAAGAGTTCTCCCTATTAAGAAAACGTGCTAAACGTCTCTTAATTAAATGTTACAATAAATATATAGAGAACGTTGAGTCTTCAATAAAGGATAATATAAAATACTTTTGGAAATATACTTCAGATATAAAGGAAACAAATACGGGATATCCTCAAGTAATGAAGCTGGGAACCAAAACTTCAATCGACCCAAAAATAATTTCTGAAATGTTTTCACATCATTTTAAATCCGTATTTGAACCGTTGTCAGACAATGCATATACATTAGCTCAACACTTAGAGGATAATTTTACTGGAACAAACTTACATGACATACGTTTCACACACTTGGAAGTTTGCACTGCTTTAAAAAACATTGATCCAAACAAAGGCGCTGGACCTGACAAAATAAAGCCAGTGTTTTTAAAACACACTTCTAATACAATTTGCATGCCGCTCAATATAATTTTTAACAAATGTTTGGAAGCTGGAACATTTCCAACTCAATGGAAACAAGCATACATTACACCTATTCACAAATCAGGTTCTAAGAACAACGTAGAAAATTACCGTCCAATATCAATTCTTTCGGCTATTCCTAAAATTTTTGAGAAACTTATTCACGATAATACATTATTAGAGGAACAACACGGCTTTGTTAATGGCAGGTCTACACTAACAAATCTTCTTGTTTTTACTAACTTTATTTTTAATAGTTTGGACTATAAATCTCAGATTGAAACTGTATACACCGATTTTAAAAAAGCATTCGACAAATTTGATCACTTGTTACTTTTAAAAAAAATCTCCTACAATGGTATCAAGGGCAATCTTCTACGTTGGTTTGCCTCTTACTTACAAAACCGCATACAGTCGGTAGTGCTTAATGGCTACATTTCCTTACCCGTTGTAGTAACATCTGGCGTACCACAGGGATCAATACTGGGGCCACTCCTCTTTATCCTATTTATTAATGACATTTCAACTTGCTTTGACCACTGTAAATTTTTATTATACGCTGATGACTTAAAATTGTACTCTGCCATTACTAAACCTGACGACATAAAATTAATACAAAACGATTTGGACAGACTTGAAAACTATTGTAAAATTAATAAATTATTCTTGGCTTATAATAAATGCAAACACATAACATATACTAGGAACAAAAATGTAGTACATGCGGACTTTTACTTAGGTGGTCACAAAATTGTATCAGAATTTAGTATACGTGATCTTGGAGTATACTTAGATACCAAACTCACACTAGATAGGCACATCGAAGAAATATTGAATAAATCCTACCGAATGCTAGGCTTCGTTACACGTATAACAAAATCATTTAAACACAAAGATACTCTTACCTGCCTTTATCAGTCATTGGTTAGATCTCATCTAGAATATGTGTCCCCAGTTTGGAATCCATTCTACTCAGTTTATGAAGATAAAATAGAAAAGGTCCAAAAGAAATTCTTACGTATTGTTAACTATCGAATGCATTCACCTCGCGTTTCCTATGAAAATCTCTTAACAAAATATCAAATGCTATCATTAAAAGACCGACGCACTTTAATCGACGCCACTACTTTTAGGAATATCTGTGTTGGTGATATTAAGTGTTCACAGTTATTATCCAAGGTAAGGTTTCGAATACCACCCAAAAACACACGATCAAAAATTTATTTCATATACCAAAAACCAGGACCAATATTGGTAAAAGAGCACCAGTACATAGAATGTGTGTCCTCCACAATAAAATGCTTAACGACATCGATATGTTCTCTATCTCCCGTTCAGCTTTTAAAACTAAATTAAAAAGTACTCTAGTAACAATTATGAATTAGATATATAAGGATATTAAGTATTTAGTGTTGTACATGTTAGATGATTGTTTTCAGATGATTGTTTTCTTTTTATTTAAGTACAGACTTCTTACCCTGCTTGTTGTGCAGACGATACCAATTACGACCTGCTCCATAATATAAATATTATGTATGTTCTTAGTGAGACAGTTTGTAGGAAACAATTGTAATTACCATTGTCTTATTTTACTTGTATGTTTTTCTTTCATATCTTTTGTTTCTGTTTTGTCTCCAATAAAGTAAATAAAAAAATAAAAAAATAGACACTAAGAAATATTATGTAATACGAAAAACATATATAGTTTGCTATTTCGTATGCCACTTAAACGCAGCGGAATTACAATATGGAAAATGTGTTGTAAATAATTTAGGCGCACCGCCTGTGAAATGTGTGAAGTTGTGTAAAGATAATGGTGATGGTGATGAATAACAATCTCTAAAGTTGTTTTGAACTTTTAATGACCGATACTTTCAACACACTTGATGTATATTCTTTATAACATTCTAAAAAAAAACAATAAAAACATCAAACGGCCAGGGCTTTTTCGTCTTTTGTCAGCGAAATGTCAAAAACACAACACGATTTTTTATGACGGAGTTAGAAATAAATTTATTTTAACTTAAAAAACTTACTTATAAGCATTACTTAGTTATAAGTTTTTAAATAATAGTCAGAATTAATAGAACCAAAAAATCATATAATAAAAAGTAAAACCTTCATCAAAATCTAAAAAAAAAAAATAAAAAAATCAATATAGTAGCTTCTGAAGTCGATAATTTATGATAAAGTATAATTTTTTAAGGCAACAACTAAAACGTCATCTAATCAGTAACATTAAAATATTCTTTTCATATTTCTTGAGCCTTAATATAATTCCTCAGAGCACTCCCGTGATAAATTCGATAGAAAATGCAAAGGGATGCAACATCCCTACGTAGTGCTAGTGTATCGAGCCAATCAGAAAAAACTCGGTCGTCGACGATTCTAACCGCTCTGCGCTGGATGGGGCCAAGTGAAAGGAGCTGGCACTGTGGTGCCCCGACCCAGAAATGAGAACAGTTTTCCATGTGAGGCCGAATGTCTCACTCTGCTGAGCACGCCAAGCATTTTAGAGGCCAATTTGGCTTTCCCTTCCAGGTGACCACGAAATTGCACACTATTAGATATATCGACGTCGAGAATTCCGATGCTAGCTGAGGCAGCAAGGGGAGTGCTTTGAAACTGAGGAGATACAACAAAGGGGTTCTTTTTAGCGGTAAACGCGCAAACTTGTGTCTTCTGGGGATTGAACTGGACTAGATTTAGTTGCCCCCAATACAAGACCTTCATGAAAAGAGCTTACACCTTTCTAAAAGGCCGGCAACGCATCTGCAATTCCCTTGGTGTTGTAGTTGTTCATGGGCGGCGGTATTCACTTACCATCAGTTTAGCCGCATGCTCGTTTGCCCTCTCTTCTATAAAGAAAAAGGTTTGTATGGACTTGTGTTTTGTTTGTCACACGAAATATATAATGAAAGTGATAAAAAACATTCTACAAATATTTGCTATAATTTTATTTTCAAGTACAGGAAAATCCAATTGCTCCCTAGTTCCCACAGAATATAAATTAAAAAGGGCAACTTGCTTTCTTACGCCATCGGTTTGTGTTCTGAATTTGAAAATCTGAATTGAATTCCTTTCTTTATTTTTCATTTTCTCTTTTTATTTATAATTAAGAACTGCAATATAATTTCTGGGAGTGCCAATATACTTAACTAAACTAACGTGGTGAAGGTTCCCAAAATGATTCTTGGTCTCTGAAAAATATAATTAAATCGTACATGTTTTTTAAATTTATTACTTTAAATTTTACTTTTTATAAAATAAAATTTAAACTACATTTTTTATTAATTTTTTTCATTTTCAATTTATTTATTTTTAACCGAGTCATTCTACCTGTTTTTTTTGTACATCCACCGATTTATC